CAGATGCTTAACCAACTGAGCCACCCAGGCGCCCTATTTCTAACAGTTCTAAAGAAAGAGATTAAGATAAAATACAGGAACTTACTATACTGGACTAGTCAGAATTTTCTAGACTGAATTCTCAGTGAATGGCTATGTTATACTTTAGATTCTAGAGGTTTGAAGTCTGATTTGTCAAAAAGTGGGGCTACATAGTAAAACACTATCTTCTAAAACAGGAATCTTAATATTGTACTCATTCATTAATCTGCTTATTCTTTTTCCCTGTCATTAATATTAAGAGCCATACTTTTCAACATAAACTCCTATATAAATCTATTCAAGCCCAGCAAAGGACAAATGAAGAAATTTTCATGGAATGGGGGAATAAAATAGATCACCTCAAAAGACAAGGATTATTAAGGAGCTAGCTCTCATATTTCATCTACATAAACCAAAGAAAAATCTAATATAAGGGCTCTAAAAAAATATTGTTAATAATATCTCCAAGCAAGCTCTTTGGAGGCAGGGAGCTCATCTTGTATCACTTTGGTACCCCGTCAGTGCCATGTGTAAAACAGGCAATAAACAAATGTTTCCAGGAAAAAATATTTTGAGGTTTCTTGTATGCTATTTTCATGCTAGTTATCCAGAATTAGAAAATCCTGGGTTCAAAGCCAAGCTTTGAATTTACTGGCTTTCTGTGACCAAATTTCAGTTTTTGTCATTTGTAAAAAGAGAATAATAATATATACTCAGAGGTTGTGGGGGAAATTAAGCATTACCTTTTGTTACATGCCTGGCACAGTATCTGGCTTATAAATTGGGGCTCAGTAAATGTTAGTTTTCTTCCCTTACCCTTTTCTTCCTCTTCCTTTATCATTTCACACTTTGAATTCCATCTTGCTATCCTCCAGAGCCACAGTAAATAAATATTTTATCTCAAAGGTAGTCTGTAAAATTAAAATCTTTTAAAATAGCAATGCTATGTGTGTCTATGCTTAGCTTATCAATTCCCCCCAAAGCCACCCTTTTAAGGCCTTTTGCCATTTCACTTTTCTTCTGATAAAATTATCATTATGATATAAAACCACTTACAGAAATATCCTCTATCAATAGGTTATTTAACTCTATAGGAGTTCTTAGGATTTAGAAAGCATTCCTTGAACTACTGGGGCATTTAAAAATTGTGATTAGGAACCCTAAGGAATCATTCTTTTTAAACAATCTTATTTTTCAGTCATCAATTATGCATTCACATTCAGTACACACTTATTAAGTGCCTATATTATATCTGGCACTCTGCTTTGCACTGCAGGGTAAAGAGATAAAAGACAGTCCCTGCTTTGAAGATGCTTGCAGTCTGGTAGCTTGTTATTTACATACGTAGTTTATCTGTTTTACCTAGGGGAGATAGGGGCCAAACTAGGGGGGAAAAGCAAAAGCTCTTATTTATAATTGTTTCCAACGTTAAACAGAGGGAACCACTGCTAAGACCGGAAGTGATACACTGCCATTATGAAAACTTTCCCAGACACATCTTTGCTAAGTTCCTTAATTTTCCTATGATCCTAAAAGTAAATAAAAGTATCACAGTATAACTGTTCTCAGAAAAATCTAACATACTGCAAATTTTCTTTGGCCCAATCCTCTGAGGTATTTGATAGACAGTTAAAGAACACAGGACTAAATTCTGTCATTTAAGTAGTATAAATTCATGCCTCACTAATAATAGATGTTAAAAGCAAAAAAAATCAACACTTGTCACTTGCCTCTTTTGATTTTTCGTTTTCATCTGCCTCTTCATCTGTGGAATAATATAAGATATTACCTATGTAAGGTAGGTGTAAAGAATGACCAGTGACTTATATATAAAATACAAATGATTACGTTTTCAATTTTGTAATTTTAAATTTCTTTCTAAAGAAGATCCAAAACATACATATAATTTTTATCTTACTACTTTTAGCTAGTTGCCTTGAAATGGTTTTGTTTGAAAGGACAAATTTAATCCTTACATCTTTACCTATGAAATACTTTATTTGAGGCATAAAACTGGCCACAACAATTTTCTTTTGAAGTATTTTTATATCAGTGAGAATTTTAATCTTAAATTAGCTGACTCTGAATAACATAGATTAACAAAAATATTTCACAATTTTAGGGACACATCTACATTTCTATTTCCATGTATAACAACTATGCTTACAGCAAGCAAAAGACTAACATTAACACTATATAAATATAACACTAACATGTGTTATCTTACCAGATTTTAAAAAATTTATTAATATGTAGACAAAAAGCATAATGTTTGTTGATGTAGAAAATAATGAAAAGATCTCTTTGAAAAAGTTTTCTAAGGGATTGTTCAGAAATTTATTTTAGTGTTTTAAAATGCATACAGTCTCCTATAAGATCTTTTAAATTCCAATTTGAACATAAATACTTTCAACGAAATTCCAGCATTACTATCAAATCACTCTGTAGAAACAAACCTTTTTCAGATAGAAGGTTCTTAGCCAACATATTCCCAAGGTAGTACTCGTGAATATTTACTTTCTATATTGGAATAAAATAAAAATATAATAAGTATTTTGCAAATACCAAGAATACAACTTTAAAATTATCAATCTCATTATTAAAGTTCTCATTGTATAATGTTCCACCCTTCATATTTTGAAGAAAAACATACCTGACCACTTTCTTTCTCTTCATGGTATTGTCGAATGTGTTTTCCATGACATACTTCATAAGTCCAGTAAGACTCAATCTAAGAAAAAAGGATGTATTTAAACATACAAAAGCCATATAACTCCACTGAATTACTTTTTGATATTTTATGTAGTTGAGTAGATTTCCCTCAAGATTTAGAGTAAGCTTTCATTAAATGAAACTTTATTACGCCTCAGAAAAATATGAAATTTCTGAAGCCTAGTCACTATTTTCACTAATTAGCTGTTTGTGAAAATTCTGTGAAGAAAACAGGTCTAGACTACGCCTGGGATCTATATTAACCACCTGGCTTAGGGACCATTTTATACATAGTCTAAAAAATAACAATTAGCATTTCTTAGTAAAATTGTATATAAGGAAACTTTCCTTTGATCTGAAAATCATTCAGAACAATTTGGGAAGTGATATTATTTGAAACTGGTGTTACTGGGTGTTTGTTTCATCTACCGCACGGGAAGTTAAATGAACAAAATACTATTAAGCAATAGCTTTGGTTTACAACTAACTTAAAATTTGATATAACATAATAAAGTAAAAAGAAATGCAGAGTTATTTTCAAGGGTCTATTGGCCACTAGAAATTTATTTTCTACTTATTAAGTGAACATAAAATACGTACTCTGTAGGAACAACTGCTTTGTTTAAATAGTGGCTCCAATAGCTCTCTTGGATTAGGGCCTTTATAATCCTTTTCTTCTTCCTATGAAAGAACTAGGATTTAATACTTACAATTATTCTAGAACTTCACCCAACTCTTCTGTCTGGATATTAACTCATTGTTCAAATCACAAATGCTTGGAAATAAAAGGGGAAAAAAAGTCAAAACTTTTAAAAAGATCCTACGGTTTGCCACTTCTTTCAAAAGAATTTAAGTATAAAATATGGAGCCATAGAATAATCTTCCATTCTCTCTTCTCTTAAAAAAAGGTTTCTGAGTATCAGTTTCCTGAACAATTCTTATGAACCTATTTCAGAAGTTTTAAATACTTGCATCTGAACAAATTCTAACTATGAAAGCCTCAGAATAGTTGAATCTTATAGAAGGTATAGAAAAGTTTTAAGGTACATCCCAGTTTCCTATATATTTTTACATTTCAGACTTGAATGCCATATGCATATGCATATGATTGCACACATGTATATTTGTGTCTTAAGAAGGTTTAAAACAAAATGAAACAGAGAGCTATCTTTCACAGATTTCAAATCTGAACAAAACCTAAGAAAGCACTCACTGAGTTTGTAGTATTTCCATTTTACAGACTGTGCAAGTATTACATAAATAGCTCAATAATTTATTGAGTGGAAGAACTGAGTTTCAAATCTGTTCAAGGTTCCACAGCTAACTGTAGCCTATACCTCAGCCTCCTGGCTCCTAGGCTGGTGTCCTTTTCATTTTACCATGCTGACTCTCCTGTTTCATCTTGAAAGAAGTCATTGCCTTGAAGGATGGATAAGAGGCAGTTAGGGCATTTCGGGAGGAAGAAAGGGGCATGAGCTAAGGTAGGGAAAAAGCACAGGTACCTATAGATTTATTTTTAGAAATTCTTTATAAAAAAATTTCACATATATATTTAAAAATTATATCCTGCTTCAAAACCCCCATTTCTGTTAAAGAAAGCAAGCATGGAATTAGATTTTCATTAAAACTATGACTAATTGGTTGCTAAGTTTTCTAAGTTGAACTGTAAAATCAAAGAATTCAAGAATAATAAAAGTGATTACTACTTTTATGATAAACAGGGTTATTGAGAACCTTGTCATTCAGTTTTATTTTAAAGTATGTATTTACAATGTTTTAAATACACATCTCTGGTGACAAGGATTACAGATATATTTATAAAAAGTTACCTCATCCCCACTTGTCACAAGGGGCAGAATGCATTTATATTTTTCTTTATGTGTAGTTGTCATGATGACATAATTATCTTCTTTATACAAAACTCCAGTTGTAGGCTAGAAATAGAACAAAAAATATACATTTTTTTTTTTGGTTAAGTTGTATTACATTGAATAAATTACAGTCTTAGGTCAAAGTAATTCATCATGTCAACAGAGGATTTTTAAACGTATTTCCTAAGGCAGGGGAAAGGATTCTACAGGTTATTTAAGATCAAAATAAGGATGATAAGCTTTATCTTGATGTTATAACAGAAAAAAAAATGAACACAAATGAAATTTGGAGTATAAAGAAAAAAGTAGTAATGCAACAGACTGAAGTTGAAATAGGGATTAAAAAGTGTTAAGAGGTGGGGCACCTTGGTGGCACAGTGGGTTATGCGTCTGACTCTTGGTTTTGGCTCAGGGTGGTGAAATCGAGCCCCGCAAAGGGCTCCATGCTCAGTGCAGAGTCTGCTTGGGTTTTTCTTCTTCTCCCTCTGCACCCCCTGTCCCCCCCCAAAGCTCTCTCTCTCAAATAATTAATAAATCTTAAAAAAAAAAAAGCATTGAGGCAACGAAAGTTCATAGATACACCATTACTGAATACTTATTACTCCTATTAACAATTACCACCTATCTGTGATAGTCAATAGCATTTTATAAATGTACTCTCAATTCTGTTGGATGGGACACTTGAACATAATAATAGTGCATTATTTTTCATATTTGGATAAATTACTTTTAAAAGAAAAATCCCTAGGGGTGCCTAGGTGGCTCAGTCGGTTAAGCCTCTGCCTTTGGCTCAGATCATGGTCGTAGGGTCCTGGGGTCGAGCCTGACATTGGCCTTCCTGCTCAGTGGGGAGCCTGTTTCTCTCTCTCCCTCTCCGTCTGCCTCTCTCCCCAGCTTGTGCGCATGTGCTCTCTCTAATAAATGAATAAAATCTTAAAAAAAAAAAAAAGAAAAGAAAAAGAAAAATCCCTAAGGATCCTCTGTGCTGACTTAACTTTTTTTTTTTAGTATACATCCTAGGTCAGCAAACTCTTTCTGTAAAGGGCCAGGTAGTAAATATTTGAGGTTTTGTGGGCCATATGATTTCTGTTGCAACTATTCAACCATCCATTCTAGTAAGACATTGCATAGGCAAGAGGAAAATTAACAGGTATGGCTGTGTCCTGAAAAAACTTTATTTACAAAAATAGGTGGTTGGCCAACCCAAAGGTGAAGTTTGCCCATTCCCGCTATGTATCAACAAAACTATCTTTATTTTTTATTTATTTATTTATTTTTAAATTCTTATTTATTTATTTGACACAGAGAGAGAGAGAGAGAGACAGCAAGAGAGGGAACACAAGCAGGGGGAGTGGGAGAGGGAGAAGCAGGCTTCCCGCGGAGCAGGGAGCCCGATGCGGGGCTCGATCCCAGGACCCTGGGATCACGACCTGAGCCGAAGGCAGATGCTTAATGACTGAGCCACCCAGGCGCCCCAACAAAACTATCTTTAAAGCTTAATATAAAACCAAACAAATTCACAAACCAAATATGAACCAATGTAATTCAAATGAACATTTCAATTAATATAACTCATATTATTTAACTAAACAGAAATCTTCGCTGTGTTATAGCAGATGTGTCACTACTAAGACAGAAGTTTTCATATTCTGATATGTGTTCTGTGAGATTCCAACTTTTTTAAAAAAATATTTTATTTATTTATTTGACAGAGAGAGACATAGCGAGAGAGGGAACACAAGCAGGGGGAGTGGGAGAGGGAGAAGCAGGCTTCCCGCGGGCAGGGAGCCTGATGCGGGGCTGAATCCCAGGACCCTGGGATCATGACCTGAGCTGAAGGCAGACGCTTAACGACTGAGCCACCCAGGCGCCCCATGATAATTCAACTCTTAACTTCTCATTTACGATACTGTGAAACCACTATACTATTTGGCCATCCCTCATGAAGAAAGAACCACTCTTATTAAGTAACTGTTCTTTTCTCAATTTAACAAGAAGGACTCATAACCATAATAAAACAAGTACTACTTGATCCAATGTTATCTTACACACAAATGCAAATTATTGCAATGTTTTTCCAAGACAATAAAACAAAACAAAAAATAGTAGTAAATACAAGCTGTAATTAGCTGTATTGCAGTTTTAAGTCCTTAACATTTTTTAACTCATCGATCTTTAAGACAAACATTCTACCCATCTTCAGAAAAGTAAATTGAAGCCCAGAGCTTAATTTGTACAAGGTGGGGCGCCTGGGTGGCTCAGTCGGCTAAGGGTCTGCCTTCAGCTCAGGTCATGATTCCAGGGCCCTGGGATCGAGCCCCTCATCGGGCTCCCTGCTCAGCGGGGAGCCTGCTTCTCCCTCTGCCTCTGCTGCTCCCCCTGCTTGTGTTCTCTCTTGCTCACTCTTTCTCTTTCAAATAAGTAAATAAAATCTTCTAAAAAAATTTGTACAAGGTAACAAAGCTAGTAAGTAGCACAGTACAGAGATGAATCCAAGCAGACTGGTTCCATATTTTGTGTGCTCTTAACTGTTTTATGTTTATAATATGTTTTAACATATTTGCATCAGCATTTGTTAACATTTTTTTAGATTACTATATAGGCTCCTGGATTATGACGAAGGATCCTTATTTAAAAGACCACTGTAAGTGAAGAGGGGAACCAAAGAGACTTGAAAGCGAGAGTTACAAAACCAAATTTATGAAAAAGGGATCCTTAGAAACATTTATTCAGTTGTGCCAACAAATTACTATAAGACGTAACATTTACAAAGCCTTTCACCGTTTTTCAGATATATGCAGAATGTGTGCAGAGTTGTTCAAAGCACGACTCACATTTGCTGAGCAATGGCTGGCCTGAAGTCTTGCCAAATCATTCCTGTAGAGTAGCGAAGGCAACCAGTAGCATATGACTTAAGAGTATTTACCTCTATTTGTGAAGTACCTGCAACTCTAATGTTCAGAATTGAATTCCACAGCAATATTGACTTATTTACTAAAACATTCACAATGCCAACAATGGAAAAAGAACTGCTTGCTTGGAACCACAGCAAAGAAAGGAAGACAATTCTTTCTTTGTAATAAAACCATTCTTGGGGCTTTATGTTTATATGATAAGAAACTCATTCCTCCTGGAAAAGGACTTCGGCTACCTCCATTTTGACCTCAAACTTCCTAGTTGGGTTCTTCCTTCCAGCTTGTCTCTTGGCTCAGACTGGAAGATCCAGGGGGCAAAGCATTCCCTGATGGGAACCAAAACTATTCCCTCAAGTAGAAAGGACTGCCTGAACCAGCAAGACGCCTCCCCATGACTGACTCCATGACAAGGTTTGATTTGACCTTCAGTGCCTCCCTGAACATACCCACGCCACCTTTGCCCATATTTTTCATACATAAATCTGGAAGTATTTTCAGTACTTTGGAGACAGTCTTTGAGCTGCCAGTCTGCTGTGTTCTGGGTGCTGGCCTCACTGAAATTAAATCCTTTCTTGTTTCACCACCATTCATTTCTCTGAGTTTGGATTTTGTCAGCTGTGAGTGGCTGAACCTCGTCTGTTTGGAATCCCCAGACCTAGGTGCTTTTGCACCCCTGTGCCCTGGCTATACTCTGTCTACTGTTTTTAGGTCTAGGTAAAGGGTAACAAGAAATAAAAGCCATCACTTGTTTGAAGATGCAAAGATTTGTCTTTCATTAGTTTTGGAAGGGTTGCTTTCCTCTTCAATAAAACAGATCAAGTAGCAATTCCTCTATCTGAAAACTGCTGGAATAGTGAGTCACTTATTGGGAACACAAACTAAAAATTTTAACAAACTTTATCCTCTTTTTCATAAAGAAATTACTGGGAAAAAGTTAACCTTTTCTGATTTTCTAAGTTAAAAAACTTTTTTGATCTGCTACTAAAAATGTTTCCTTTTGATTTAGTAAAACAGTTCTTTAGGAAAATGAAATATAATAAATTCTGAATATACAGAATTGCAGATAGTGTAAAAAAATTCCATATAATACCTTAATGTATTTTCAGTGTAAGAGGTGGTATTAGTGATTTGATTAAAGTCAGATATTAATATAATGAAACCAATCCAAGGGGGTATGGTACTTTAAGGTTAAGGAACTTAAAAAATATGTTGGCAGGGGAGAAATTCCTAATGTTTGACAAGAGTCTGGAAGAATTAAGATAGAGGATGAGAGACAAAAGAGAGAAGCTGTAAAATAAACTCAGTGGTACAACTTCCCAGCATATATACACATGCTTGGAAAACAAACAAACAAACATGCTTGGAACTATGGAGTTGGTTCCCATTCTTCCCAAGCATAGTGTTTGGGGTAAGTTTTTGTTTTGTTTTGTTTTTAAAGTAGGTTCAGAGCCCAACGCAGGGCCTGAACTCATGACCCTGAGATCAAGACCTAAGCTGAGATCAAGAGTCGGAGGCTTAACTGACTGAGCCACTCAGGTACCCCTATGGGAAGTTTTTGAGTGGGAATATATTTCCAAGAGAAGTAAAGAGAAAATTGGACTTATTCTGTGGTTTTACTTTGGTGAAATCTGTGAACTCTGTGAAGTAATGAATAGTTGAACAGTTTAATGAGAGATGGTATTTCAGAAGAAAAATATATACACACAAAAAAACTGAATGCTAAAAACCAGTAAACAAAGACTATCATAGTCATTAATTAGTTAACATAAACATTAAAAAATATACACAGTTTTGGTGCTTAATAACTTTTCTAAGTAAATTTGAAAGCAAGATTATAAAGATTATATGTTGTTTTGATATATCTGAATGGGGAGATGATTTAAAGCACAGAAGAATTTTAAAGCTAAAAAAAAAAATTCACATCTTCCAATCTAGTCTCTCCCAATTTCAGATAGTAGAGAGATAAAGGCACTTATCCCAGTTCATACAGCTGCTTAGTTATATTTGTCCCACCAACTGGCCCATAAAAGAAAATGACAGTGCGAGGTGAGGAGGGCTGTAGTGTCAATTACAAAAAGGAGGGAAGAGAAGCCTCAAGATTAAAAAGTACTAAAACAAAACCCAAAGGCCAATGATAAAGACTCCTAC